CCCCTAGCGTCCCCTGGCATAACAAGGAATAAGGGCCACAAGTTGTTGGAGAGTAGGTTTAGATTAGACATCCGTAAGAACTACTTCACAGTTACGGCGGCTAGGAGCTGGAACCAACTTCCAAGGGAAGTGGTGCTGGCTCCTACCCTGGGGATCTTGAAGAGGAGGCTTGATGACTACCTGGCTGGAATCATTTGAGCCCAGTTTTTTCTCCTGCCCAGGCAGGGGGTCGGACTTGAAGATCTACAAGGTCCCTTCCGACCCGACTTCTATGATTCTATGATTCTCTCCAGCCAAGGGAGGTTGGCCAGATGCTTTGCATGGTGAGACTTTAGCGTATAAATATTCTGTGCAGAAATATAAGCACAAAGGTTATTTACCCTTTTGGATGGCTGAAAAAGGGCCTCTGCAACACTACTTCAAATTAAATAGTTCCTATGTTTATTCAAAATTTCTCAAAAAAGCACATAACAGGAAGAACCTTCAGTGTTATATTTGTATATTTGCTTTGAACTACTATTACGAAGAACCGTACTGTTTAATTTTCTGCTACAGACTCCATCTCCTAGTCCTTACTGCATCCAACAAAAGCTGACACCTTTAAAGAGGGCATATATGAAACCACTGGGTGCAGCTCAACATGAAGTGGCTTTGATCCAGAGGATGGCAGCAAAGTGAGAAAGAAGAAAGTGGCGTGCTATAAACTTGGACTCCAACTCAGACAACATATGGATCTGTGAAACTTGTACAAACTGTTGCTCTTGCATTAGGCTTGCCAGCCACAAATGGATTCATCAGGCATCTGACTAGACCTCTTACATGTATACTGTAACCCAGAGGTTCAATGGTTGCCTACTAAATATGAAGCCAAACTTGAAATACATGACTGAAATACACACCAGGTTTTGTTTTGTTTTTTAAACAGGTGCATATATTTGTTCCTCTAGGGTTTTTCATACTGATTGTGAAACTAAGAGAGTTTACAGTTCATGTTAGAGAAAGATGGGGTTTGAAGAGAGGATGGCTCCCAGCTATATCTGACATACCAGGGCACACAAACTCTGATTTAGAGTAAGAGTTTGTGTATACATCTGATTTCAAAATGGATTTAAGCACAGGCTCAGGCACCTTGCTGAATCAGTACCATGGTCATTAAATTCAAAAGACTTGGAGTCAGGAGATTTTTGATACTTTCAGCTTTGCCGCTGACTTGACTATGTGACCTCAGGCAAACTGCGTAACCATCTGGGGGGCTTGCCAGGCTCACAAGAAAGCCATGATGAAGCTTCATCCTCTGACACTTACAAAGTTCTTTGAGCTGCTCACCAGCGAGCAGTTTAGAATATAAAGCAATGCTACAGTTTGCACTGTATATAGTTAAAGGAAACTTTACACTTCAATTATAATCTGAAAACATTTGTCTTTTATCCTGATGTTTCCTTTGTGCTCATCTCATATAGCAGCAGTAACCCTGAAGGGGAGGTGTTCTCACGGAATTTCACGGACCTACTACCAGGATTTTTTTGTCGGCACAGTGCGATGTGGTTGTTAAGATGTGCCTCTACTTCTTAAGTTCTTAAGTCTAAAAAATTCAAAACGGGCTCAAACTTCTTTCTTCTTGAAGTGCTTTTATTTGTATAGTAAATATTTTTGTGCTTAATATTTTAACACTAGTGAACTTCCCGTCAAGAATGACAGCGGGGATGGAGCACTGCCATGATGGCAGGGATGGAGGGGAGGGGAGGCCAGTGTTGTGCTGCTACCACCCTGCACCACCATTGCCTCCAAGGAGCAGGGCCCAGGGG